TGAAAGTACAGATGAAGGCTGGCTGTCTGGCTGGCTGATCGGTGGATGTTTGTTGCCCCATTCACATTTACATTCACATTCACATTCACATTCACATTCACATTCACATTCACATTCACATTCACATTCACATTCACATTCACATTCAAGATTAACGTCCACATTCCCATTCACATTCACATTCAAATTCACATTCAGATTCAAATTCAAATTCACATTCACAATTCGCCTTGTTCCTCTCGTGCGGGCTTCAACCACCTCCCAGCCACGACGCGTCGTAGCAGATGAACGCTCGGCGAGTGACAAGCGCGTGTTGATTCGTGATTCTTGATTGCGCGTGCATATATGCGTCCGTCTTGATTGTTCTGTTCGCCTACAGTACACGCACCGCGCAAACCTCGATCGGCGTCTCTTCGCACACATACAGCCAGCAAGCCAGTTCAAGAAGCTGTAGCACGGACTTTACAAGCTAGCATTCTGATCCACGATTGGTGGAGTGGAGTGGAGTGGAGCTTTGAGACAGACATTATGCCTCCTGCTCGTCAAGCAGCCCAGAAAGCCCGCTCGCTTTTTGCAGCTCCTGCGGATTCGCAAGAAGAGAGCGGATGGACGAGCGAAGAGAGAGATTCGAGCAGTTTCGCATCCAGCAGCAGCAGCAGCGTATCGATCCAGTCGGAGGCGAGCGAGATGGTCAGCGAGGATAAATTGGAGAGATTGAAGAAGAGGCGCAGAGTGGATGCTGATGTTGCGCACGCATCGCCTCGGAAGAGCAATCGCGCTGAGCGTGCCACGATGCAGGGATCCTGTTCGCGGGCGACTGAGCTGGCTAGGCATCACTGCACATCCTATCACACTGCTCTGTTGCTCTCGCAAGCCGCACTGTGCTCTGCGAAAGAAATCGCTCCACCATCACACGGTATCGAAGACGACTACGTGGCTAGCGCGAAGACGCTGGGAGCTCAGACGAGGCAAGCGCTACTGGATTGGTACGAAGGAGTCAGCGCTGCGCGCAAAATGCCGTGGAGAAGACCATTCATAGATCCGGCATTGTATGTGGGCAAAGAGTCGGAGCTGAGGGAACTACTGAAAAGGAGATCTTATGAGGTTTTGATTTCTGAAATCAGTGAGTTTGCAGGGATCAGACGATTCGTGCTGTGACGGTGTCGGATCCGCAAAAGTGCACTGCTCGCTTGGTCGCATCTCGTCCGACGCCTCTGCCTCACATTCACCATCTGCCTCATATTCGTCGTCAACGAATTGCAGTGCTGCAGCAGACCAGAGTGGAGACGGTCATACCATACTATAATCGATGGCTGAGCAAGTGGCCAGGCATCTCTGCGCTAGCTTCAGCCAGTCCTGAAGAAGTCTTGTCCATGTGGAAAGGTCTAGGCTACTACTCTCGCGCCACTCGTCTCCAAAAAGCAGCTCAATTGGTCCTTTCACACCCTACCTATGATGGTCTCTTGCCTTCTTCCATGGAAGAGCTTTGCAAAGATGTGCCGGGTGTTGGACCTTATACTGCCGGAGCGATATCTTGTATCGTCTTTGGTCAACCTGCACCCATGATGGATGGAAACGCTTACCGCGTCTATTCTCGTCAGATGGGATTGTACGCCGACATGAGCAGCAAAAAGGTGCTCAATGTGTTGGAGAGGGAAGCGAGAGCATGTGTAGAGGCTGTGGCGAAGAGGGACACGAACGGCAAGACTCTGCCTAGCAAGAGCTGCGGGGATTGGGGTCAGGCCATCATGGAACTGGGGGCGTGAGTGATGGAGTTTGATTTGGCACGAGTTGCTCTTTCGTCTTGCTACTCTGACCTCCCTGCATCACCTTTCACAACCTTTTGCGGGCGTTCAGTACCATTTGCACTCCCCTCAGACCTGACTGTCAGAGATGTCCGATTCGTCCTACGTGTCGAGCTTACGCCGAGGTACGTCGAAGCCAGCGGTCACTGCTATGTCGCAAGACTTTCACGCCAGCTGACATCACAGAATCTTGATCACAGGGAAGCACACTGGCTGCTGTCGCGCTTCGTCCAAACGACGAAACACACCGCTCCGTTGCGCGTTTTCTACACTCGTCTCCCGCAGTGTCGGAGGAGACAGACATTGAAGATTTGTGCACCCTGTGCGACCCGATTGAAGAGGTAGTCTCCTCGCTGCCAAAGCGTCAGGGAGTCATGAAAGCCTCGAGCGGCTCAGCGCAGGAGAAAGCCGCGACGAACAAGGTCCAGAGCACGCTCAACTTTGGTCGAGCTAGAACCGTCTCGAATTTGCAACAAAGCCAACATGTCAAGCCGGAGGGCACAGGCTCAAATGCCGACGATCAAATTTCACAGCAGGCTGTGGACATTGTCCGAGCTCACGTGCAGCGCTTTCCAAAAAAGGTGGTCAAGAAAGCGCCGAGGGAAGAGGCTTGTCTGGTGCTTGTGATTCGATCAAGCGAGGGAAAGGTTTTGATCGAGCAGAGAGCAGAGAAGGGTGAGTGTGCAGTAGGAGAAGTACGGCTTGCCTATCGAAGGCTCCGGCACATTCGAAAACAGCGCTGCAGGGCACCGAGGCTTATCCCAGCTTTGTGGTGGGTTACCTGTGATCAGGCCTCTTGGCCGGCCTGTGGCAATTCCCAGCATCATCCTTGCAAGGCGAAGCAAAGGACAAGATTGAAGCTGTTGAAATGCACAAGAGGACCACGGCCGACAAGAAGCAGACGATCGTGCACGCTCAGAGCACTCCCCTGACAGAGCGCTCGGCGATCTCGTCCAAGCAGGCGATGGAAGCCGAAGCTGAGAGGCTTGCATCTGCCCTCCTTCCCAAGAGCCTCGACTTCAAGGTCGCACGCCTGAAAGCTCGGGGGAAAATCACCCACCTCTTCTCGCACATCAAGTTGCACATGCACGTCTACGAGCTGACTCTTCCCACCTCTATTTCTCAATCTTCGTTGCATGCAGCCGCGTCTCGATGCGCTCCAAATGGGACTGCTGAGCGACAAGAACATAGCAGGGAGAGCGCACCTTCGGTATACGGTGCTGGGCCTTTGCCCAAGAGGGCGTGGGTCTCCATCGACGAATTGTCGCACTGCAGCTTGTCTACGGGCAACGTCAGATGCTGGGAGCTCTCGTCCTTTGCTCAATCTGCTGGTGCGCCCGGCAAGCGGATAAAAAGATGAATGAGGTAGGGCTACACAGAGTGCAGCTTGCACACTTGCCAAGCGTCCTCTTCTCATAGAGGTGCCCTCTACCTCGTCACAAGGCTCCATCATCCTCCTGCACACCTGGCCACGCCACGGAGCACCATCACAATGCGCCGAGTGTATCATGACATTATCTCATTGACGTCGCTCGCTCGCAACATATCGCGAAGTGTCGGTACCTTGCTTTCTATTCGAAGTCTTCTTCTTTCGTGGTCCTTCTTCTCGCGCCTGTCGCCATTTGTGGAATGGGCAAAAAGTCAAGAGCAAAAGGTAAAACCCTCACCTCTTGGGAGGCTTCCTGCGAATGTCTTCTTCGGCCACGGGCAAAAGATAGATCTTGTCCTTTCCGCTATTAGGCGGATTGGCCATCTGATGACCCGCGTGCCAATCGTACGACACGGCATACGCAAAAATTTTCCCGTCTCGGTTGAAAGCCGTTGCGCTAATGGGAGCTGCTTTGCGGTCAAAGGCTGCTCAGAGAGTGGTAGGTAGGAGGGAGAGAGAGGGAACAGCGCGTGAGCAACTCGTGCTAGGGAGAGAGGGTCTCTTTGGGAATGCAGCGTGTTCAGAGCGCCGTGCTACGATAGTCTACTCACTCTTGAGCCTCGTACGAGCATCCTTGTCCCAGAAGGTGAAGGTCCCATCCGAGCCGCAAGTGGAGAACGTGCCTTGAGGCGTGAAGCTGATCTCGTTGACGGGACAAACCACAGCTGGTTCCCTGCTACCCGTAGGAGGCTCTTTTCGATGACACTTGAACGAGAAGTTCGAGCTGGACAAGCGACGAAAGAAGTCGTATGGAGGGAACCGAATTAGCAAGCCGCCTGGAAACACTGACAGCGCTACATCGCTCAAACTTTTGGTCCGCCGCGCACGCAATCCACTTACCTCTTGTGCTCATCCTTGAAGTACTGAATCGCAACTCGTCCCTCGATGCTCCCAAGTGCGAAGCCGGGTGCCATGGGTTCCAAGCCGACCTCGGGTGCTCGTCTGAAGCAAGCGATGGTCCTCGTCTGATATTTGAGTGGAGAGTCGATCGACTACGACACCGAAGGCCCGAGACAAAGGTGAGCCGTAAGCTGTTTGCCGCATACACATGCATGGCATCCTTCGCCCGAGAAAGACGCTTGCATCGCGCTTCGAGGCCTACTCACAAAGGCAGGAGCATTGGGATTCTGCTGCAGATCAAAGACGTGGATCTTGCGATCCGCTGTGCCAACGACCAGATATGGCCATTCGCAGTCCATAGCGTAGCATCTTTCCGAAAGTGTGGCTTGTGCGATAGGATTCCCTTGGCGCATGTCCCAGTACTACGCAATCATGCATTCGCATCAGATGGAGTATGCCAGCCTCGGTGTCAGCCCTGCATCTACTACAGCCGGGTGTGTGCCACTTTAGTGACTCACCTTGACCGTCTTGTCCCAGCTGGCAGTAGCGAGCAGCCCGTTTCCCTGATCGACCCACCTCACGTGCTTTATAGGCGCATCGTGAGCAGCGATCTGATTGCTCTGTCCGCTCTGAACATCATACAGCTTAGCAGTCTTGTCTGCTGATCCGCTTATGACTCTCAAGCCGTCTTTGGACCAAATGGTGTCTAGCACTGGACCTTCGTGACTGTACATCGCTTTGGGCACCGCTCCTGCCCCTTCCACTCCGTAAATGCGAACCTATGATGGCGAGACGTATGGCGGCGGCAAGTACGGCGTCAGATCAGAAATCAACGCCTTCGGGCGCTAAGCGGAGCGTGCACGCACCTGGCGTGATCCATCGTCAAACTCACATTGTTGTCCCAGCACCCGCTCACGAGAAAGTCGGCAGCAGAGCTCCAATCGAGCGAAGAGATTCCATCTGGAGGAGAAGGGTTCACTTCAATGTCGGTGCTCGCTGCTTGATTTCCAGTATTGGAGGTATTGACCAGACCCGGACGCGCAGTGCTGGCTGCTGATGCACCAAAGCCGCTCGGCGCTCGAAAGATGGAGGACATGTCTGACCAAGTGTGAGGTCGAGGCTCGGCTTTCCAGACATGGACAGCTGTTGGAAAAGCAGACTTTGACGAGGGCGGTCCCCAATCGAGCTTGGATCGGGAGTGCCAAGGAGTGCGTTGCTGTGCTGCTTGAGGTCCGAAGGCGAGCTATCGTCAGAATGTTGGACGCAAGCAAGACCTGTTGCCCCTGCTGTCGTCCGAATGACCACCGGACGCAGAGGAGAGCAAGACTGATCGGCAAGCCCGGCCACGGATCAGTTAACTTGCGTTGAGGTAGGGTGAACACTCTTACCAGCTTGTCCTGACCCTTTTGGTATGCCGCGTGGTCGAAGATGTGAATGAAAGAGGGACAGGTGGCCGCACGATCAGCGAGCTAAGGACGATGGATGCCTCGACTGCACGGCCGTGTGCTGCTGGATGGCTGAATTCTTGATTGTCACCACACGCGCGACGCGGAAAGCGATGCGGGCTTCCCGGCCGAAAAGACCGCACCCGCGCGGGCTCCGTTGCTAGACGGACGCGCATTGATGACGGCGATCGATGAATGAATCACTGAATGACTTCTCTTTCTGGGATTCGACACCTTTCAGCATCTGGGCGGCATCCTCTTTACTCAATCATCGATCTCCATCGACTTCGAGCCGCGAAGGATCGCGTGGCTGCTGGAGATGGGGAGCACCGTGCAAGGACCGGCCATGGCCATGCTCGCCGTTGCCTTGCCTCTCCTTGCAACGCGTCCCGCCAGGGCAACGTTGACCGCAGGCGTTCAGTATCCGCTCACCTGCGATCCCATCAACACTCGACTAGCTCCGGACACGAATCAGCTGGTCAGCGACTGCGGATATGTAGCGTGGTGCGACGCATCCAGCTTGGTGGAAGGGAGAGGCACGTGCAGGCCTAACGGGTGTAGAAGAGACACTTTCCCCTTTGGCTATGGCAATGGCACTACCAGGGATGATTGGCCCAGAATGTGTCCACGGGGTCAGGTATGTATGCATTACACTCATAGCCGGCTATCTCGGCGGGCGAGAACTCACGCCTACACCCTCGCACGTCGTCGTCGCAGTTCTGTCCAGACGAGATGGCGAGATGCTTGCCGCAGCAAGCAGCAGGCTCTGCCTGCCAACTCAATCGTGACGGTGAGCGGGCCCAATGTTGCCATGCTCCAGAGCGAAGACTGGCGCTGAATTTTTTTCGGCCTCGTCACCCTCTCATAGACGAGTGTGCGCCCCCGTCGGCGGTGTCGCAAGGGTCGAGCAGTGTGTGCTTGCGATACACGTGTCACCACAAGAACATCACTTTGGGCAGGGAGTGCATACACGACAATACTCTGTACACCGTCTATGTTTCTAGGCGACAAGACTATGGGCTCATCATAAGCAGGTGGGTCTCGCGGAAGCTTCGCCAATGCGAGGGCTACGACACGTTCAACGTGCAATTGCAACGCTTCGTGAGACTGATTCCATGCATCCTCGTATGACCTCATTAGGGACAATTGCCAGAGCGGGCTTTTCTGTGATGCTGGCTCTTCGCGATGTCTGTCGCAGCAACCACTGGGCGCCGCATGCTCCTCCGATAAAGAATGTCTCTCACTGACTTGCAGAGACCAGTCTTTTACGCCAACTTCCTCTTCACTTGGGAACACCATCAACCTAAAAACAGGACGATGCGGATCTGCAGAAGGGGAACGCAAGGTCAAGGTTGGAGTTTTGGTTGGCGCTTTGTTCGCTTTCGTAGCCGGCAGTGTACTCCTTTCGATCGTTCTCTTTAGAGTGCACAATGCTCAGCGCAGACAACGACTGGCCAAAAGAAGAGCTGAAGAAGCTCAAGCTTCGGCGGTGAGGGAAGGTTTGCTGCCACTTTCAGCTTCACTCGCCAATATGACCGCCACTCCTTTCGGATCGACCTCGGCTATACAGACTAGGACCGGGGAAATGTTGAAGCCCGGTGGAGTCGCGAGTCACGATCTGACCGATGGAGGCACATCAAGGACCAGACTCATTAGAGAGCCGAGCGGCGAATCGTTGGAAGTGTAGCGGTCCGTGAGGAGTCTCGGTGTCACGAGGCTTGTTGGAGCAGCAGAACGAAGACGGAACGGGTGTTTGCGAATCGCAACAATTTGGGAGTGAACTGCTCTCCAAATCGAGCATTTCTCGTCCTGCACAGCTTCGAAGCGGTCAAGCACACATTTATGGTTGCTGTTCGGCGCGGCAGCCCAATGTCGGCGACTAATGGCGCTTCCGCTCTGGCAAAGACCGCACTGTTACACTCGATAGCCCGCAACGTCCAATTATCACCCAATGGCCGAGAACACTACAGCGCAAATCAACGCGGCGACAGATCGCGAAACCTGTTCGCCATTGCTTGTAGGCAATCAAACAAGCTGGCAATTTTTGCAAAGTCTAAGGATCAGCAGGTCCGGCCAGCACCCTTGCAATTCTGGTCCTGACGCTCTTCTCCATGAACGTCCCATCGTCGGCGTTCCCATCCACCTCCATCGACTCCGAATTTTCCTCGCTTGAGGCAAATACGTCGGCGAAGAATTGTCCGTGTCGGGAACGAACACTCTGCCGGAGCTCTGATCGCTCAGTGTCGGACAAAGGAGAAGTGTAGCTCGGTGAGAGCGGCACAAGGATCTGCCACGCCAAGTTTGAGGGCAGCAACGGGCGGGTCAGAAATAGCCCGCTTTGCGCGAGCTGGAATGGAGTACTGCATCGATCCTGTTCCTCACCTGCACGACGACACCCAGTGCACTCTTTTTATCGTGGCCCGTTCTGCTTTGCAGGGCCAAGCCAATCTTTCCTAATAAGCTGGTCTCATCCGTCCCTCTCTCTTCCAAGCCCGTCCGTCTTTCCACCTTGTTCCCCTCTACTTTATCCAGACCACTACGCAGTAGGACATTCTTAATGCAAGCTTCTCCGCACGCCTCGATACCTAGCAGAGCGCCTTGCACAGTGACAATTGGATGGCCAACTTGCCTTTCTTGACCAGAATTCTCCAAGACTGCGCACTTGGACAAGGTCCTGATCAGCCGAGGCTTCAAGCTAGGGTACGAGTTGTTGTAGTTGGTCAAGAGCAGTCGAAGAAGCGAGGCTGCGCGTGCGCGCAAAAGCAGGCACGAAGGGAGAAGGGAGGTCAAGAGGACGGAGAGAATGGAAGGCAAGAGCTGATGGAGCTGTGCAAAGCCAAGGTCGAGCGCGGGCGTCTCAATTTCAAGATGTGTCTTCCGAGCGACATCGGCATGGGAGAGCAGGACTCACATAGGGTTCCAGAAGGAGGGTAGAATTCCGAAGCACTGCTTCTATAGCGCCTAGAATAGCCACGAGCGCTCTTTGACATTCGACCTGCCTTCCTTCTGCGTCGGTCGCGCTCTGCTGTGCTGATTGGATTTGTCGCTGCGCGTCTGCCGATATCTCTGAAGACGCGCTGACGAGATCCACGATACGTTCTCCGATCCACTGAATGAGGTAAGGTAGCAACTGCGCCAAACCAGCATCTCCAGCAAGAGACGACAGAGCAGCAGACCGAGTAGGATTATCTACGGCATCATGACCTGCACTCGACGCTGGCTCGTCTTGCGCAGATCCCGAAGCGCCATCCAGCGCAGCGGGCAACGGAGAGCTCATGATGGCGTCTGTCAGACGCGTAAAGTAGAGCTGCAGCTCGCGAGAGAGAACATGCTTGATCAGAGGTCTGACTTGAGGCGCACTCGACGTCGCAGCAGCGCTCGACGAGCCCGCAAGCGCCGAGGCACTAGCGCTGGCCAATGTGCTAGGTCCAACAGCGCCCAAAGTTCTGCCCACACCGTTGACCGCAGCTGTTCCATTCGATCCAGATTGATGGTGATGAGCATTGAATGTTTTGGCATCCTCCTCGAGCGGCAAATGACCAGTCTTGCCTCGATCTGGGTTCTGCGGAATGTCAGGCTGAACACCTTCCACAGCTAACCAATGAGCTGCCCATCCCACTCCCTGACTGCGCTGTAAGGGCGCCTGTCGACGGATGAGAGAGCTGAGATCTTCCAAAGAGATTTCGGGATCATCCAAGACGTATTGAGGACCCGAAGTTGTCTGCACTCGCTTGTAGACAGGGACTGCTGGCGCGATCAGGGAGCTGTGTCCTCTGGGCTGAGAATAGTGGCCGTACAGCGGCTGTCCACAAAGCAGCCGCAAGCGGCAGAGTGGGCGGCTGATTAGCATCAGCAACGGCAAGTTGTAGCAGTGGCTCACAAAACTGCAGTCTGTCTAAACCCATCTGTCCTTCTCTCGTCTGCCCTCCTGTGACGCTTGCACTCCGATGTGCGCACATCACCGTCCTTTTTGCTCAAACTCACCTCCTCTCCCCATGCCCTGAGCGCCCTATCCACATCTGCAGCTCGCAACTGCGACCTCTTTCCATGTCTCATGTACTTGCTAGCATCTTCTACCAATGTTCTCAACCTATATTCGACGTCCGAGGCTAGAGCATTGAGCGCGCTGTTCGAGGGTGGGACTTGACCTAGACCTTCCGAAATATCGCGTAACGTGTCCAGAGGGAAGAGCGGCGGTGGTGCGTGCGTAGGAGGTGACATTGCTGAGCGCGGCCGACGAGTTGCCGAAGTAGGGTGTTGAATGTCGAGAGGGGAGTGGGGGTGAGATGTGGGAGTGATGGGAATGATGTTGTGCTCACCAGAAGGCGGCTGTTGTTAGGCCGAACAGGCATCTACCCCGATGTGCATGCGCGGTCAAGTCTTGAGCACATGCTGCGTGGTGGAGACGATCACGTGATACATGCCAGTGTTCGAGCGAATGGCGCTGCCCAAAGCGGACCTGCCTCTCGATCTCGATTTGTGCACGTTCTTTTGTTTTGTTTTGCACTTTTGAGTCTTGATTATTGATTTTGATTCATTTACCTGGGTGCTACTCAAGACTCTCGAGACATGAGCCCTCGTTGTAGGCTCGCGATGCGTGATTGTGATACAAAATTGATGACAAGCTTGATGCAGCCAAAATTCTTGATGACTGTGCCATGAGCAGCAGCCTCAATCCAAGACCTCTGGACCTGATTGCAAACGCACTCAAAAGCCACTGACACCGTACTCGTACCAACGTGAGGAGCCATGCTCTGCTTCAACACACAGACTATACCATCTCGAGAGAGAATGTCCGTCATGTAGCTCTTCGACGAATCGCGGAGTTTGGGCATGCGGGCATGCTGGCATGCGGCTCAATAGATAGACCCAGCCAGCGTAAGGTCACAAAAGATCGATGAAATGGTGCACAGGTTGATAAGTCGCGATTTCGCATCATTCCAGTCACGAGTGTTTGTTCCCTGACTAGAGCATTGCCAAAGCTTGGGCGCCTTCAAGATAAATTCGTGAATCACGATCGCATATATGCATGCAGATAAACGTCCATTTGTACCACAAAACAATCATGACTCACAATTTCGAGTGGACTGACAGGATTATGTCTCGCCTTTATGGCTTCGCAGACACTCAATCGGCATGGACAGGCTGATTCTAGACTTGATTCGAATCATAATGGTCGTCGTTCGTATGTACCTACACACAAATCACGAATCGGTGATCGAGTACTCAACTCGTCATTCACGATTCAATTGACTCGCATTAAGACTCATCACAATTCAAAGCCACGTGCGGGTCGACTTCAACTTCTTGCTTGGCCTAAAAGGCAACGATCACAAGAAGAATGACGAGTTTGTATACGAAGCTCGAGTCAAGATTGACCAAATCTGATTTGCTCGATAGAGTCTGAGTGAGTGAATTTGCAAGACACCTCAATTGTCGAGCCCACACATCACGCGATCGACCCACGCTGATCCATATGGGCACCGATGGGTTTCGCCCGTGTGGGGCGTGCGCGCGCAACCACGCCCACGCTTTGCCGCGGTTTCCTAGCGCACGAAACAATAAAGGGCCCGCGGCTCTTCATCCGTCAACTCCGTCTGCTGCTGATGCTGATGCATGCTGCTGCTTGATTGAGCCAGAAGCCTGAGTCAGGTTAGATTATGGGCGCCGGGATAATGCCCTGTCCCCTCACAATCGATGTCGAATAGCAAGTGAAGTTTGGAAGTTTATTTGTTGGGCAGGGCGCATTTAAAGGTGTGCGCAATCGCGAATCACCGCGTGATGCGCATGAGTGAAGCTTAAAAAGTTGCCGCACGCTCTCTGTGCACGCTGCACGCTGCACCAATCAACTTTGCGCTAGCGGCACGCAGGGACAGCAGTGAGCGTGAGCGTGAGCGTAAGCGGTGGGCCAGCAGACTCGTGACTGACTGCACGGTTGCCCAGCTCACAGCTTCTTGAATTGTGAATGAAATGCCCGACCACACGCTAAATTCAGCACTAGACGGGCTTTTGCAGCGGTTCATGGTGCTCGTGGTGGTGCTTGAACGTGTACCGGTACGCGTAGCAGAGAGACCTTTTTTCAAAAAGTCATGCTTTGCGCAATCACGATGACGAATCTTGAAAAGGTGCTCAAAGAGCTCACTCGGCCGCCGCTCACAAAAATCTTGGATGTGAAGCGGGATGCACGCCATGATGGATCGCGCAGCACAGCTCGCTCGATCGAGCGTAGATCGAAAACGGAAAAGCGGCCGGCCGGGCTGATGATGCGCCCTCAGATTTGAACCCAGTCGGGCTGGCCGGCTGGACAATCAGCAGCAGCAGCATCGATGCTTTGCATATGGAACGCCGCCGCCCGCCAAGGCACATACATCCATGCGGCTGAGTCACGAGTGTAGGGCTTGATTGCTGCATATGTTTCGCCTTTTTCAGAGCCCGCTGTGAGCTGCTTGCTTCATTGCTGCCTCAATCAATGAATGCTTTCGTTTGATAAACGTGGGCGGGATGGTAAAGCGGCGGCGTGTGCTAGCCGTCGACTGCGAGGCATCGCAATCACGAATGTCTGGTACCTGTTGTGCCTCGCCCGACCTGCCTTTCGTAGGGTCGGGCCGGACCACAGCGCGAGCCGCTCGTGAGGGAGCTGTAGGGCAGAGATTCACAGTAGAGCAGCTATAGTTGCCTGCACACGCAATTGACCCGCGGTGAGTTGCTAGCTGAACGCTATCGCAAACTAGCTTGAATGGCATTTTGCGAAGAGTGCGTCCGCGAGTGGTCTGCCCGCCTGTCTCGCATTTCTCACACCATGCATGCAATGCAGATGCGGGAAAACTAGAGGAATTAAGCAGCATTTAGGCACCATGCACATAGCCGCGGGGCGACTAGGCCGCACGCGAGCAGCAGCCTGCATGCATCCCATGCAGCACTTGTCGAGCTTTTCGAGCAGACGCTTCAGGGCTATGATGGCCTATCGATAGCTCAATCTTCTATAGCTATTTGCTATTCCACTCGCTCACACCTGCTGCCCATGAATTCAAAGTGGCCTCCATCGATCCTTCTGCAATCGATGCGCCAGCATCCCTGCTGCTCTTCCACCTCCATACCCTCTCCTCTTCACTACGACACCTTGACCATCCCAACACGTCCATTCCTCACATCAGCCACATACCCTTCTCGCCCTGAACACCCCATCCACGCCACCCCTGCTTCCCTGACCGAACACGCGATCATCACAGCTCACTCGATCACTACAGCTTCTCTGGACACACCTCGGAGGATAGAGGCAGCCGATATTCATCATGTCTGACGCAATCACATCCAATGCTCACGACGTTGAAGGGAACAAGGAGAAATCCTTGCCCGGCGGTTCTTCGCCCGCAACTCCAACCGAAGGCATCATAGAGTCCGATGCTCAAGCATACAGCCAACGTGGCGCGTGGAGCAAGGTCAGAAGCGCTTATGGATTGGGAATGACGCAGGTTGCATTGGTTGGCTGTAGCTGTCTGTTGTGGTGAGTGTCGTCGTGCGTTGAGTGGTGATGAGGGGCGATGGATTTAGGCGAGGACGAATAGCTCAATTTCGCTCGTCCACCTTCTCTAGCCCCGGCATGTTCAATGCTCGTAAGTGTTGTGCAGGGCGCTTTCATCTCGCTGCTTTTCCTTGCGCTCAAACACGCCTCGCCGCGACGCAACGTCTTGCTTGTACCTAGTCGGCGGCATCGGAGGTGGTGGACAGGTGGACCCTTCGGCTAGCTCGAATGCAAACGCTGCGCTGGTGAGCCCATCCTCCGGTCTGACAGCTCGCATAATGTCTGCAGTGGAGGCTGAACGGACCTCTCGCTACCGGTGCAGTACTCTTGCTTCGCATTCGTCTCATTCTTTGGTGGATCGATTCACAACACGCTCGGCACGCGGCTGTGCCTCTTTATCGGAGCGTGCGGTTATCCACTGTACATCGCTTCCTTCCTCTCTTACAACCACAATCAAAATCGGGGCTTTGTCATCGCGGCAGGAGCTATCCTTGGAATTTGCGCAAGTCTGTTCTGGACGGCTCAAGGTGCCATCATGCTGTCCTACCCTACCGAGCAGCAAAAGGGAACGGCATTTGCTATTGTCTGGCTGCTGCTCAACATTGGTGGTGTGCTAGGAAGCGCCATCGAGCTTGGAATCTCCTACGACAGTACGGCAGACTCTCTTGGAGACGCGGTTTATGCTGTGTTCCTCGTCCTCACGTTCTTGGGCGCCTGCTCCACGCTGCTCCTCAAACCTCCCAGTACCGTCGTCCGTGCAGATGGTACGAATGTCATCGTACCAAAAGGCAGAGATTGGCGCAAAGAGATCAAGGGCGTCGTGATGCTGCTCTTCAAGGACCCCACCATCCTTCTACTCTTTCCCCTCTTTTTAAGCTCCAATTTCACTGTAAGTCCGCGGATGCACTATTATTCTGGACAGCAGCTCACCATGTCGTCTATGTGCATATCCGACGCTGTAGTACACTTGGCAACAGCAGATGTACATTGCTAGAAGGTTCACGGTAAGTTGTAGTGAGGTCCGCGAGCGTCACCATCCGTGATCGCGTGGTTGATCGTGCATTCTGCTGCGTCGCAACAGCTTCGGGCTCGTAGTTTGGGTAGCATGCTTTATTGGTTGGCTCAGATGGTAGCTGCGTACATGTTTTCATTCCTGCTCGATTCCAAGCGTCTCACCCGACGGGTGCGCCTCATGGTGTCTTGGGTTGTTGTCTTCGTCTTCGTCTGGGTCGTCTTTGGTGCATGCTATCACGTTCAGCTGGGCGTAACGCGAGCCAACACGGACCCGAACAATCCCGACCGTATTCCACTAGTCGATCTGAACACGTCGGCATTTGCGGGAGGAGCGACGCTGTACTTTTGGTGCGGCTTTATGGATGCTCTGATCCAAGGTTTCGCGTACGCCATCATGGGAGCCTACTCGAACAAGATGGCTGTGCTTGCAAGTCTGGCTGGATTCTACAAGGGCGTGCAATCAGCAGGTGCCGCAGCTGGGTTCGGCATGGACAGCGCTGCGACCGGATTGATGACTACGCTCGCCACGACTTGGGGACTGTGCGCCGGTGCACTCCTCATCATGTTGCCCGTGCTATTCTACAGGATCACGAACCACACTACGGACGAGGAAGAAGAGCGGGAGCAGATCAACGAGGAGACGGGCGCGAATCTGCCTCAGCCTGGAGACAGGGAGGGCAAGCAAGCGAAGGAGGCACTGGGGCAGGTCAAAGAAGAGAAGCACGCTGGCAATCTGATCAACGACCCTGCGCCAGTCTATCAAGCGTAGATGAGTGGAGCATGCCTGGACAAGCTGGACCACGATGTCAAAATCGATGCACAGCCTACTTCAATCTAGCTGCTCGACCTTTACAAATCTTGTCCCTCTCCCTACTGCTTGGGTTTCTAGTCACCTGCACGCGCCGCTTTCTGACGATCCCGTTGTGTGCCTCTTCTTCTCACCTCTCTCTGCCGATACGACTTTTTTCTCTTTTTGTACCAGTAGACGCGAACGCCACACATCTCCTGCACTCACTCACTCACTCACTGTTCGCGCGCAAGCACGACGCGCACAGAGATGATTGATGTTCCATGAAAAAGTCTCGATTTTGTTCAAGAGGCGATAGGGGGCGTGCGCTCGCGAAATGAGTGCATGCTGTGCAATCGTCAAGGGTTGGTTGTGGGAATCGGTGAATGGGAGAATCACACTGTGCAGCGCGGACATTTTCTTTGGGGGTGTTTTTTTGGGGGGGATAAAGAATCAAAGAGAGAGATAGAGATGCGAGAGTAATTGGAGGGAGCGCAGGACGGAGGACGGAGGAAGGAATGCCAGGCAGCGCGCTTGCTTGTTCACTCAACTGTTGGGCAAGCATGCAAGCATGCAAGGCAAAAAGGCAGCCAGGTAGGCGTCCAAGCGTGGCGTTGTGCTGTGCCGGATCATCGTGCAGCGATGCGATGCGGTGCGCTCACAGAGCAAAACGAAGCATGCTTAGACACGAGACGTGGTTGTGGGCGCATAAAGCACACATGCAGGCATCCCAATTGAAGTTCGACCTGTTCGCTTGCTTGCGATCTGTTCATTGTGCGCCTACGAGTAGTCGGTCGAAATTTTGGAGTAGGTAGGTCAATTGTGGTACATGTGAGAGCGGCGTTACACGGGGTAGTCAACGACACGAAGAGTAAGATGACGAGAAGGGGGGCCACCAACTCGAGGACTGGAAAATTTTGAAGAAAGTTGAGCGACGTCGGGCGGACCGCCTTCTACGCAGACGGAGCCAAAAACAGAAAGCAGAGAGAAAGAAGGAGCGCGCAATGTGCAGCTCGAGTCGCACGGAGAGATTGCGTCGGACCGGAAGCGCCGAGATTCCAAATGGATATGAAGAGGTCTGGCTTCATTTGCGCTTCGGACGCCCAGCTTGGCGCTCATCTGTCCTCCTTCTTCTTGTCGCGCGACTCCTTCCACTTCTCCATTCCTTTCTCGAGCATTGCGCCTGTGAGAACGTCAAAGAAAGGAGAATAGTGTGTCAACATCAATACGCGACACTATCAGCGTCAATCGAGGGCATCAAGGAGATTGTCATTGCTGGTCGTGCAAGAACGTTAGAGGCGTTTCCGATCGTCAAGTAATAAGATATGAAAAGAGTCGTGTCGATACACGTTCGTCGGGCAATTAGTATTGCACCGTCATCCTAGTAGCGCCGTCTTCAAAGCCAGCTGAAGCGTTTCGCCTTCCACCGTTTGTCGGAGGTACTGAAGCCCGTTACGCATAGACTCACCAGTGACAGCACCGAGCATAGCGTCTTGAATACGTTTGCTGTCGTGGAGAGTGGGCAAACAAAAAAAAAACGAAACAAGAAATGTCGGGTGAGCGCCCACTGCGTTGCTAGTGAAACGGCCGCAAATTTGCTTACCCTCCACCGCCGCTAGTCTTCTTGCTCTTAGCACTGCTGTCGTCGCTGCTCACACTGCCCGAGCGGGATCTAGTGTCGCTGCGAGCTTGACCGCTTCGATGCTTGTGGCCTGTTGGAGAGCTCGGGCATGATCAACAAGACACCTAGCGCGTCTTGAAGCACTTCAGATACTCACGACTCTTCTTGCCAGTATCATCCCAGCCTTCGGCATACCCGCGCTGCAAGTAGGCCTATACGAAGCAAATTTTGTCGAAGGACGTCAACGTTGAGTTGACACAGACGCTCACTTGCCCATCGATGGCAATGTCATCGGGATATCAGTAATAATTGTAAAATCAACAGCGTTCTTGCCTCAAAGATTGCACATAGATCGACATCACTGACTTGCCCGAGCAGGATCGACCTTACTTACCTGAACGTGCGGTGGCACCGGGCCTCCAGGATATCCACCATAAGGTGAACCATAGGGCATCATGCCCATGCCGGCACCAGGAAAGCCGGGATATCCGCCAGCTCCCGGTGGAAATTGCTGTTGCATACCGTACGCATTGGCGTATCCAGTAGCGCCAAAAGCCTGCGGTTGAGCATAAGCACCATAAGGACCGGTAGCCGTCTGCGGAGGAAGAGCGCCGTAGCCTGACATGTAGCCGTAAGCTGCTGCAGCATGAGGCGGTACGGAGGGAGGTGGAGCTCGTGCACCGTAAGCGGACTGATAGTAGGCAGACGGTCCAGCCGCAGCGCCATACGGCATCTGCGCAGCCCCTGCACCACCATAAGGAGGCGGCCAGCCGCTCTGGCCTGCTGATGCCCAAGGATTAGCACCAGCGGTACTTGGCCACGCACCAGCGCCGCCAGCAGCACCGGGCCATTGACTCGGAGGCGCACCATAGCCAGGGTAAGCCGAAGCCGGATTCTGACCTGCATAAGCACCATGAGGCGGAAATGCACCGGGATCTTGGCTCGCAGCGCCGGGCCAATCGCTCGGAGGAGGCGCGGTTCGGGAGCGAGAACGAGGATCGGGGGCCGACTGACCAGGAGGCTGACTGCCTGGAGGCGGAGGTGGCGGTGGACCACCAGCACCACCGTGACCATGCTGACCGCCAGGATAGCCTTGGTCGTAGCCCGCTCCTGCCGTTTGACCTCTTGCCATGCCACTAGGAGCAGCAGCGCCGTAGCCTGGGTACCCACCTGCACCGTACATGTCGCGAGACATATCCTCGGCCGAAGGCTCGATAACGTTCAGCGCGAACGGAGGGTGTAGACTGTAGTCTGGTGGTGAAGACCACTGAGCTGTGTAGTCGAGCGCTAGTGGAGCAAAGGCCTCAAGCGACGGATCAAAGTGATATTCGCCGAGCTGAAATTGGCTGCCTTCAAAGTAAGGCGAAGGCGCTGGAGCGTTGAGTTGATGCGACGGGTATGAGGAACGATGAGCGAGCTCCGGTGGATGACGTGACGATGAGCGTCTAGTCTTGGAAGGATGATCACCGGCCCTCTGCTTGTTTTGATCGCGCTTGTTGGCCAAAGCTGAGGCTGCTGCTGATGCTACGGCCGCGCCTGCTGTTGCCAGGTTGTAGGCTCCGACTGGTCCGCCAAAGGGCCTGCCTTGACGTAATGCCGAGCCTGGTTTGCCGCCAGTGGTGGCTTGTCTCGCTGTGCTATAAGCTAGCTGGGTCAAAGCCTGTTGAGGGATGAGCGCCCAGGGATTGTTGCCGTTACCGTGGTTGGCTTTACCTCCGCCGTGACCTTTACCTCCTTTATGTTGCTGCTGACCTTGTTGACCCGAGACAAGTTCGGGGATGCGGTGCGCGTTGGTAGCGAGGATGGGAACGGCGTAGTTGGCAGCTGCCTTGACGCCGTTGAAGAATACCTTCGAAGCTGATTGAGGGACGCCGGCTGCTGCTGCTGCACCTGCCGTCGCCCCCACGACCTGAGGGCGACGACTCGAAGAAGACTGAGCCTCCACGGGGCGACTGGTCTGGGGTTTGGTGCGCCGCTGAGACAGCGAGGTACCTCGTGCACCCTTGTTGGCGTGCAGATCAGCGGTGAGCTTCGGCTGAGGATTGGCAGAAATGTGTGAAGGGGCTGAGTGGGGCTGACTGCGTCCAGATGACGTAGCTTGGCAACGACTGCGATCGTCCTGGGCGACTCAGCACTTTAGCTGACGTCGTTGCAAGCTAGAAGTAGTATCGCGACAACACTAGCATCAGAGAGTGTGCGAGAGTGACCTCAAGCTCTCGCGGCGCGGGGAGAGGTGTAGAAGTGGTTAGACCTGAGCGCGCACTCCGTTGCAGGCGAGCGCAACGGAGTGTAACAAGACTCCTACTGACGCTCGTTGTTGGCGGCGTCCGCGTCGGCTGAAAGCTTGGGCGCGTGTGTGCTTGACGAGGCGCCGGAGGCTGCGACCGCGTTGCGCAGATCTGGATGGTCCCGCGCGGCAGGTGTTGCAATAGAGGCGAGCTGTGAGAACCCGACCAGATTGAGTGCACAGAGCTTATAGAGTCGTGCTCCGCCAGATGGGACACTGGGTAGGCCCTGTGCTTGAGCCTATGCAGAGATGCAGTTGTATGACAGGCTGCACGTTTGCGCTCGTGGCGAGGTCTTGGCTAGAAACAGGGCGAATGGCGGGTGGGGCTGCTTGCGACCAGTAGCACCAAGTCTGAGCAGCGCGAGAATTGTCAGTCGAAGTGTTTACCTGAAGACAGAGCTACAAGAGGAGGGGCAATTGTGGTGCGCGAATGTTATGCGTGGCGCGCTTTACGAACAGCACATGCGAGGTGAGGATGCCGTTCGGATGAACAAGGCGGACAGCAAATGACAAGGTGTTGGTGTTGCAAAGAGAAGGAGCGGTGCGTTCGGATGCTGGCTTCTCCTGTTTTGTGATCTGCTTTCCCTTGCAAGTCTATCGAGGGAGATCAAGTCTGCATAGCAGCAGGCGCTTCTCTCGCCGAGCACATTGTGATTCTGAACCTGGACGCTCACCGCTGTCACACTACACCCACCCACCTCTGCATACACGGCCAGCGGCAGCGCTGGAGATGCGCTGTGCCGAGCGTGAGATGCTGCTATGACTCTGACTCGCTGTTCCTTTTGGGGCGAGTGCGCAGCCACATGCAATTCTTGATCGTCAGCTTCATCAAGTCGTCGCCATATCAACAATCCTGCGCCGCTGTAATTCGTGATTGACTCGTGACTTGCTCCGTGCTTCATCGTGACCCGTGACTAAGTCAACAGTGTGATGT